AACCTCAGATTCGGTTTCAGCACACCGATAAACGTACGGAATGAAAAAATCAGAACTACCCCAAAACTTGCCCGCTAGAAACCCTTTGAGCACAAGGTGCCTGTATTAATACGCTTCCGCTGAATTCTATGCTGACAATGTTGAATTGATAATTGATTTGTTGGCCATCCTCGGAAAGGTTCTGAAGCTCGACCCTAGAGTCTTCGTCCTTTCTCCCACAGATGCCTCCTCACCTTGCTTTCCCGCCAAAACCGGCAAACTTTAGCGGAAAACGTGGGTAAACCCTCGCTAGACTTGCCGGTTACCATGCCAACGGCCATCGGTTCACAAGGAAGCGCCGACTCATCGCTGACTTAGAGATGGGCACAGCGAAAGATAAACATATCGACGTTTGCTCGCATTTCGTTAACTGAAATAGTATATTATACCCTTGATTAAATACACTATACCTTTTCAACTTCAATTTCGGAATCGGTGAGTTATATTTCGGAAAAAGTATTCTCGATTTCAGAATTGGTTAGTTCGATTTCAGAAATGGTAAACTCAATTTCAGAATCGGTGAGATGAATTTCAGAAAAAGTCCATTCAATTTCAGAAATGGTAAGTTGTATTTCAGAATTATCATTGGTAGGTTCAATTTCAGAAAATGAAATCCTTTTATATGTTTGAAATGTTTTTAATTGCAAAAGAGAAGACTGTTTACAGTGAATGGAACGGTGTTTGAGAGCCCTATGTTGAATCAGATTGAACATAATATATATAGGGTGCCTTCAAGTCAGAAGTGAAGAGCTTCTTGCAAGAGAATCGCCAAAGGGTCATAGCTGGAGATCCGAACAGATTGCTCAACCAGATAGAATTCAGACTGCGATGTCTTGAAGAATGTGCAGATCATTCAATGAACATGATAACACCTCAAATGTGTTTGCATTCTTATAATCATGTGCAACGTCACTATCTTCCAGCGATTCAGATGGAAGGCATCTGTGGATTAAATTGTTTTTGAAAAGTTGAATATTTTAAATATGGTTTGTTAATCTCGCATGCAATTGGAAACATTTCGAACAAATATAAGGATTTTTTTTATGATATTGAACCTACCAATTCTGAAATACAACTTACCATTTCTGAAATTAAATGGACTTTTTCTGAAATTCATCTCACCGATTCTGGAATTGAGTTTACCATTTCTGAAATCGAACTAACCAATTCTGAAATCGAGATTACTTTTTCCGAATTATAACTTACCTATTCCGAAATTGAAGTTGAAAACTCAATGATTATATCCCTAGGGTGAGAAGGGAGCTGTTATATAGCAAGCACTTTGATATCAAGTGTTTCCTTGTGACATTCTAGCAAATAAAGTTCATATAAACATGTGTCCTAACTTGCTCCGTTTTTGAGATACAGGATGTTGAAGGAAGTATATTAATTGTTTTCATTCCTAACCCCCCTGTATAAGCTTCCATGGTGCCAAAATTCAGTATGGATGGAGACTGAGAAAGCCCCTGAATTTGAGAATGATTCTAATTGGGGTTATCAAGTAATCTCAATGGAAGTCTTGAAAACACCTACATTAATTTAGAGTCAAATCGAATATTATCTCGAATCTAATTACACCAGAAGAAGCTCCATATTATTATCAACTGAACCACAACGTTTTATTGAAATTGATGAAAAGACAATTTGATTAAGAAATAAATAAAACAACATTTTTTCATGGAAATATTGATACCCTGTATATCGAAAACGAAATAAGTTAGGACACATATTCATATGAACTTTATCACCTAAAATATTACAAGGAATCGCCTCTTGGATGTTTTTGGTGTCAATCAGATACACCCTGTATATACCTTACAGAAATGAAATGAAATCATATGAATATAGGTATGATTTACCACTAAATTCAGCTATCATCACGACTGAAGTACCTACTCTTTCATTTTGGTGCAAGAAATGCAAAAATCATTTCGAATTGATAACTAATAAAATTTTTATCTTCAATATTTAGTCTCTAGCATAACATATTATGTTTTCTCGGTGATTAAAACTTGAATTTCATATAATTCCAAATTAATAAATAATATTATAATTAATATATAATTAATAATAATTAAAATTGAGTGTCCACTATAGGTAACTTTTTATAATTGAATATACAACATGAAAGAATAAAAATTATCATTTAAATTTGGGTATCGCGTATTCTGTAACTATAGAGAAATTTTCTTCTTGTCAGGAATACCTCCCAGGTAACACAAACCTCTCCGCAAGATCTCAGAGAGATCAACATCAGGATCATATGCGAACTTCCATCGTAAGGTAGTAAAGATCGCTATGTGCTGTTACTAAGCGAATTTCTTCCTGAAGTCCCATGTAGACATCTTTCAAAACTCACCTTTCAGTTATCGATTTCATTTCCACAATGAATTCCCAAAGTTATTACGAAATTAACCTGAATCAGAAATTTTCACTGCGAGTTCCTTAAGCTAGCTGGAATGTAAGCTGAACAAGAAATTATTGTTGCGAGTTTCTGAAGCTATCAGGTATGTAACGTTAACGAGATATTCTCACTGCGAGTTCGTTCAGTTGACCCGAACGTAATCTGAATCAAAAATTCTTATTGTGAGTTCTTCAAGTCATTCCGAGGGTATCACAAACAAGAAATTCTTGGTGCGAGTTCCTATAACGATATCTCGAACGTTCATATTAGGCAAGAGCAAAATATCAACACACGACATGTTCCTTAAATTTCAAAAAAGACTCCCACCATCATTACAGATATAGGGTGATCAGAATTCTGAATCTTGAACCACCCTGTATTTATTTCCAATTCAATGTCAGTGGATAGTAAATCAAACGTTTAGATAGAGACATGTGAGCCGTTCTGACCGATAATAATAGTTTCGACACAAAAAAATTCTTAAATAGATTTTTTTTGTTTTTGAACACCCTATATCTCTGTAATCATTCCCGCTAGACCCCGAGTGTGAGGCATTGATGCAATCGGCTTTCCAGGGAGAAACTAAAAACGCGATAAAATACAGGATGTCCCATTAAAAAAAAATCATCCGCTGATATCTTGGAATTCGAACACCCTATATATATATGAACAAAATTTTAGGTGATAGTTCTCATGAAACCATAAACCTGTTGTATTTGATTTTTCCCCATATATCTGACGGTTTGGCTGATATCGAAGGAGAACACACTATTGACTCACCTGGTATATGATATCCCATCCCATAATCAGATGTGAGAAGTTCGAAAAAGAAAAATATATTTTGGCCTATACAAACTGAGATATCGCGTAAAAAATGTACCTATCGGCCTGATTAACCTCAACGCTCTGTAACTTTCTCTCAACCATGCATATATTATACTCATGAGGCTAGGTAAAAACAAAGTTTAGAGAATAAATATTCTCTAAACTGTGATACAAACTAGTATGACTCCAATATTTCTAAAAAACCTATATCCCCCACTTTCCCGGAAAAAAATTGATCAACCTGTGTAACATAGTCAGTGTACAAGATGATAATTATGATGTAACAATCAAGTACAGGGTGAAGAACCGTGAATCAAACAGTTTGAGGAGAATGATTTCATGAATAGTGCAGAAACATTTAAAAAATTGTTCTAAAATTGTTCTATCCGTCATTCGGTTGCCCCCTTACGAGCAACCCTCAGAAGTCTTCGAGAGTCTTATGCGAGCAAGGAATGACGGGGGCCTTACCTTTTAACGTGTGATCCCAAACACTTTCTTGGGCCATCAGAAAAATGTCTGCAGTCGACGGGACTCGAACCCACGACCGGCAAGCGAATGCGGAATAGAATATGGACACTCTGTCACACGGCTATCTGGTCAGTCATGACTTTTCATTGCAGAATTGTTTCTGAAGATAAATAATCTGTTTTGATACCTGACCTTGCATAGTTGATCAATCACCATCATATACCTATTTACTATGCTCTATGCTTCCATTTCATAAGCGCAAGAGCCCGTGAGCTTCAACTTACGGAGTTCCCTGGCACTGCTGGTAGCCTATGAATACTACAAAAATCCTTGGTAACTTGAATATAAACAAGGATATCTCGAGGAACTCGCTAAATGATACTCATAAGAATGTCTTGAACAGTTCGTGATGCGAACTCTCAGAGGCCTCGGCAGGAGCCTTTTTTCGTGAATTCCTTGGTTCACTTGTAGTTGCGAGTAAATTGACGCAAATCTCCCGAATTTCCCATTGCAAGCCTATGTGTGGGAATATCTTAAATAACTCCTAGGTACGCACACTAACAGACCTCGTCAGTAGTAATTGATGCGAATCTCCTGAAGTACTCGCCACAAGGCTATGTGTGCGAATATCTTGAATAATTCGGTTCTGCGAATATACTTGGAGTTTGCACCAGTGGCAATTGATGCGAATCTCTCAAAGCTCTCGGAAAGAGGTTCTGTATGCGAATTTCCCAAAGAACTCGCCTGAAGGTATTGTATGTGATTTTCTTCGTGGGATATCGCTTAAACCTCGTTGAGAATATCCCGGTGGCGGACATTTGGAGCAAAAATAGTGTTCTCGGCAACCGCTCAAAGAAGTGAAGAAAGGCGTCACAATTTCCTGGAAGGAGCTTGCCGATATATCCTTAAGACCTCTTTGTGTTGGCTGGACTATATACTGATAGTTTCTTGATGTGAACAATTTTGTATCTTAAGTAATAACAAAGCTATCAACATGGCTGCAGACAAATTAATTCCCTATATATTTCTCGCAATGAACAAGTGCGTTATATCGAATTCATCTCAGATATATCACTTTGTGACATTCATTCAAGTATCATTGAAAGGACAAAATTGGTGTTTATAATGTATCTGAGGCATATCAGATATATATGTATAGGTGAAAGACATATTCAGGGAGAAGAAAATTTGACGTTACATGCGAGGTACATTAACTGTTCAAATAATGTTTCTGCAACATCGGATGAGAACAGGAATATGTGGTTACGTATCAGATATGTTCGTTTCTTCTGAAAACCCTGGAACTATCAATATTTCTAAGCAATATTCGATCTACGAGAAACATCGATATACTCTGCCCACCTCTACCCCACAACAACCGCCGCAGCCGCTCTGATCCATGACGACGGCGCGCCAGACAATCCCACCGGCCGCATCAACAATCGCCGCGTGCCTTGCACCTCGACAGTCGACAGTCGCAAGATGGCTGTGGCTCGATAACATCCCCGCCGCGACCACCGACTACGCCGCTCCAGCAACTATCGATGTTTTAACAACAATCGCGGCGTGCCTTGCTCCTTGACAGTTGCAAATCGCATGGTGGCTGTGGCTCGCTGACGTCTACGCCGTGAGTACTCCGCGGCCAGTGATCATCGATGTTTTAATAACAATCACGGCGTGCCTTGCTCCTTGTCGGTGGCTGTGGCTAGCTAACCTCTACGCCGTGAGTATCCTCTACTCCGCGCCAGCAACAATGAATTCAATATAAACACCTGGAAGGGAGACGGCTGTTATCTCGAATAGCATAAAGTGTGTCAGGGACAGCTGCAACAAAGATAGCATGATTTACGGTAGCCTGTCTCTTTTCTTCCCGTATTGTTCAATGGTGGATTGGTGTTTACGTTTTATTTTATCTAATATTTAAAGTACTTTAAATTGTTTTCTCTCATCTAAACACGCAAGACAGTGGAGACATAAGTTCATTGTCTTCGGTTATGTGAAATATCTATTCATTTGGCGTATTTTGTTTCATAAAAAGGACTGAATTTGTTGGTGTGAACACTGTGAACTGATTGTTGAGAAGGTTTTGATAAACAATGGTGATTTATTGTGTCGCCTTTGGATGCAAGAACCAGCAGGACAAAAGGAAATTGTCATTCCATGGGTGAGTTGAATATTGTTCAGATTCTTGGAGAAAATAGTTCTTGAAATGATCATCACTTATAGGTGCACAATGTTCTCAGTCTCATAATATGTTCAAAAACTCGAGGGGTAAATCTCCAGGAAAAATGTGTACACCAGACTTCCAATTAACATAGACTTCCAAAGACTTCCAAAGACTTCCAAAGACTTCCAAAGACATCCAAAGACTTCCAAATACTCCCAAAGGCTCCAAAAGATTTTCAAAGACTTCCAAAGACATCCAAAGACTTCCAGAGACATCCATAAAGACTTCCAAAGACTTCCAAATACTCCCAAAGACATCCAAAGAATTCCAAAGACTTCCAACGGAGTGTACACCAGACTTCCAAGGAGATTTACCCCGAGATTTACCCCTCGCAAAAACTATACCTATAGTATTTGTCAAAGTTAAATACTTTCTTGACTTTACCATAAATCTCTTTTAAGTAATATTATTTGTTGCAGTTTTCCATAAGACATTCTTGAATTATGGCTTAGGGCAGTTCGTAGAGAGAGTTGTACTCCATCTAAAACCAGCTAGCTTTTGGAGAGCATTTCCTGCCAACTGATTATTCATTTAGACATACCTGGTACTGCATGGTTATTGAAACCAGATGGTATACCCAGTATATTTCCATTTCCTAAGCATTTGTTACCAAAAAATGCTGATTCTCGAAAGAAAAGAAAAAACTAATAGGTACCTAGTTGATTAATAATGAGAAAAAAGTATGTTTGCACCTCTTTGAAATAAAAAACTAGCTAATTAATTTTCAGGATGCATCTGTGGACGTTCATAACTTGGGTCCTGAAGGAAGATGTTTCTCATATTATGGACTTTGATTTGCCTATGACTTCCAGCTCCCAAGTTCCGAAGTTCATCAATGAAGAAACTCAAACTGTTCCATTGAAGAAGAATGTATTGAGAATTGTATTTTTCCAATTTCTAATAGGGATATGTTTGTATGCAGTGTCCTAATGGAAAAACAGAAATCTATGGAAATTATGCTCAAAATGGACCTAAGGTACTCAATACCATTCAAGAACCTCTTTTCCAATTTTTCCTATAATGATAGTGCTGAGACATTGTGCTTTGCCTTCCCTGTACAATATATTTTGTGACATTTGAATGAAAATATATAATTTCGATTCTGTATTCATTTGACTTCCTAATCCTGTGGAAATGGTGATGAAATTTCATTTTTGATTCAATAAAAAAATGAATAATAATTTTTTGATGATAATTGATCGCAACTTTATTCTTTTTCCTATATGGATATTTTTATTCAATCACGTTCACTCCTAAATAAAAGCAAATAACGAGAAAATATTTCAAATAATGCGAGCGCTTCTAGTGGTGCCCGCGAGAGTCTCGTTTTTGAGAGTCTCGCATGGTCTTGTCTCGTTTTCGAGGCAAGACTCGAGACGAGACTCGGACAAGACGACACGTGACTTTTATTGGTCTCGTCTCAAGTCTCGTGCGAGACTTCTCTTGTCTCGTGCGAGAGTCTCGCAGGTAAATATTTCTGCGTGACGACTGCAGACTTGAGAATTACCGGCTACTTCAGTCCCGGCAGAAAGATTATTTTCACGTGCTCCGTTAACTATAAGAAAACATCGGAATCGCCTAAAAAGATGAATCTGCACGATGTTTGTTTTGTCTTAACGACTGGGTGAAAAACAAAAACATTTGTGATCGTGAAGGCTGATCTGACTGATAAAGGTTTTTTTCTTAGAGACCTATTTCTTAAATGAGTAAAATAATGTTGGATTAAAGTTTTTGTTCAGTTTATTTGTTTAGAATATACGTGTTACTTTTTCTTTTATTTTTATGACTTTCGAATATATAATGAATGCTATGTTTTTTTTCTTGTTCAGATGTATGATGTAAATAGGTATGTATCTATTAGGTAATTACTTTTCGATGAATAATGTTATTTTTGTTGTAATTTTCTCTTCCTACTTCTACATTATTAGAAAGTAGTTAAAGGTTAATATGCCGTACTAGACTGGAACAAGATTATGCATGACGAAATTGCGATTGGTACAATTGCGAGACTCTCGTACTAGACGCGAGACAAGACGAGACTCGTGGCTGCGAGACGAGACTCGAGACAAGATTTCATATCTCATCGGCGAGACGAGACTATGAAAATCTCGTCTCGTTGGTCTCGTGTGAATCACTAAGCGCTTCCCATTAGCCAACATAAGATAGAAAGAGATAGGTATCCGTAAACACTGCGGGTTGCCTGAACAAAACTTTTGCCTCACTCATCGTTCACAGAGGGTCCCTTCCAGGTGTTTATATTGAGTTTATTGGCCAGCAACTATATCGATGTTTCAGCAATAATCGTGGCGTGCCTTGCACCCGGCAGTCGGCCGTGAATCGCAAACTTCTCAGCCGCGAGCGGCCAGTTACTATCGATGTTTTGACTGATAACTATCGATGTTTTGACGATGAGCGAGGAGGCTTTTTTCGGGCGGTCGGGCTTGCTGGAGACGCACGTCCGCGGCCAGTGGTACAGGGTGTTCGTGACCTTGGAGGACGACTACCTCAGCATCACGCTGGACGAGGCGTACGAGAACACGACGACGCTGAACGGCACCGGTACGTTGAACAACAACGTCGAGACGCCAGGAGGAGCGAGCGAGACGCCTGAGGTGCCGGAGTCGGTGGCTAATCAGAAGAGGTGGGTATAATAAGCGTGGAAGGGACACGTTGCGTTTATTTTCCAAAGGACACACAATGTCACTACCTACTCATTCAGACAGTTATCTATTTGGATGCAAATCATAGACTTCGTCTGATAAATAGATAAGTAGGAAGAACTGCTTCCTTAGACAGTTCTACAAGAGTCTAGATTGACATCAGTTACAATTGAATAAATGAATAGGAGCAAGTGTACAAATAGGCAGTTGCAAATGTTCAATTAGACAGTTACAAAACTGTTTTTTCTGTGACAGGAAAAAAGTTTGGCATTTCATCTCTGTTGGCAGGTTATAAAATGTCACTTTTCATAAATTACTTCTTTCCCGTGGGAAAATAGTGAGTACCATTTTCCCGGATATATATCATATATATACAGGGTGATCCATGGTGGATGGCCTATTCGAACTATCTGGAGAACGAAAAGACAGAACATTCTGAAAATTGGGATGCTCTGATAATTCAACATTCTCTATCAGTCTAAAATATTTTCATCGATACGGTGTTGCCACTTCTATTAGAAACAACTAGCAACTTTGTTATTTCAAATGGAACACCCTATATTTTATTGCATTCTTAGATTCTTCTTGAACAGCTGATTTCATCAACGTATCACACATGGGGTCGAGCAGGAATGATTACAGAGATATAGGGTGTTCAAAATCGAGATTTTTCAATTTTAGGATTTTTTTGTGTCGAAACTATTCATAATCGATCAAAACGGCTAACTTGTCCCTATCTCAACTCTTGATTGACTATCTACTGAAATTCAATTGGATAAAATTCAGGGTGCTTCAAGATTCAGAATTCTGATCAACCTGTATCTGTTCCAATTAAATATCAGTAGTTAGTGAATCGAATGTTAAGATAGGGACATGTAAGCCGTTTTGATCGATAATGAATAGTTTCGACACCAAAAAAATCTTAAATTGAAAAATCTCGATTTTGAACACCCTATATCTCTGTAATCATTCCTGCTAGACCCCAAGTGTGATACATCGATAGAATCAGCTCTCCAGGAAGAGTATAAAAATGATATAGAATATAGGGTGTTCCATTCAAAATAACGAAGTTGCTAGTTGTTTCTGATAGAAGTGGCAACACTGTATCGATGAAAATATTTTAGACGGATAGAGAATGTTCAATTATCGAAGTACCCCCATTTTCCGAATGTTCTGTCTATTCGTTCTCCAGATACTTCTAATAGGCCATCCACCGTGGATCACCCTGTATATTCACTGTTGATGGCGTTAGTTGTGCTATAGTTTCGAAAAATGAGTCCACAATACCGTCTCCGAGAAAAAAATGCAAGTCCTTTTATCTTCCATTCGAACTCGCGGTTACATTACTACGAAGGCGCTGAAGGGCCACCTATACTTTTTTTTTCGAATCCCGACTTTAAAGTCGGACCCCCGACTTTAAAGTCGGGGGTCCGAGATTAAAGTCGGGGGTCCGACTTTAAAGTCGGGGGTCCGAGATTAAAGTCGGGGGTCCGAGATTAAAGTCGGGGGTCCGACTTTAAAGTCGGGATTCGAAAAAAAAAGTATAGGTGGCCCTTCAGCGCCTTCGTACATTACTGAACGACCACTGAATTCGCAATTTTTTGAAATCAAATCACAGGATTAGACTGACAGAAAAGACATCAGATATTTGATCACTTCAAAAGAATGATGAATATGCCTATACAACGCAGGTGTCCCTACTGTTAAAAACTTAAAAGTTCACGTCGATAATTTTCAGATTTCAAAATAATATAATATCTTCTCAATATTGATTCGTCTTTTCTTCTGTAAGAAAAAAAAAGTGTATTAAACACGGGAGAAATATTAGATTTCAGCTCACGGTTTTTTGTCTCCCTCCGCAACAACACAACCTGGAGCTAAAATCGACTACTTTTTTCCCTTGTATAATAAATAACTATTGAACTTAGGAAAAAATTCGAATAAGTATCAATGAATGAATGAGCGTATAGACAGTCACAATGTTCTATTCAGACACTCACAACTGCCTATCTAGACAGTGTCGACAGATTCCAATGCAAACCTCATCGGCAAAAGAAGTAAAAAAAAAAAATTGGCATATTGATCGCCCTTTATCTTTTTCACTTTGATCAGGCAACCAGCTTCAATACCACTTCATTGGCATATCAATTTCATCATACAGTATACAGTCCACGATCTCTAGTGAGCTGCCATTAGGTATAGCAACATATACCTCTTGTTTTCGAATTTGTTCAATATATGGAACTGACATAATAAATGGGACCATTTCATACTGATTTGTATTCATCGAATTTCGATACAAAATCATAAGGAATGTAAAGTTCCATTGAAGAACCACAAAAAATAGAAATTCAGTTTGGTTATCCAACATAATTTGGTCCTTCGAGCCGGATGTTGAAAGTAGTAGCGGTTAGAATAGTCAAGAAGGAGACGAAAATCGGTTCATTTTAAGGACGATAAGCGGTATTTGGATCTGGAGAAGTGAGAGGGCAGCTTCGAGGATATTCAGAATCGAAGTAGCAGGTCATTTACTTTCACGGTTGGCGCACTGGGCGTAATCGAAGAGAGCGGTGGACGCATTACACAGCTCTATTTAAAAGAGCACATTGGGTACACACATGCAGAATAATCAGGTCAGAAAATCGCACATTGGAACAGAGTGAGTACAATCTTCTGTGAAGACGTACGAGGAATATACCCGAGTGTTACTGTGGTGAGGGTCATCATTTTGTTCATTTTTCTTTCGAATAAAGATTAGCTATGAATGAACTTATTGGAATAAAGAGACTGTCAAGGGGCAAATAACACGGTTTGAAACTTTCACCAACACATTTACGAATGAAGAAATATCTCCGAAACTGGAAAAGCTAGAAGAATGTAAGGAATGTTGGAACGAATTTGACATTTCACAATCATATATAGAGGAATTAGATCCTGCAAATGCCATAGATCATGAACAAGAGGAAATACATTTCAGGAATATTATTTTGAAGTAATCACAAAGGCAACAGGAATATTTTCAAATAATGGGCCAGTTACACAAATGAATAGTTCTGTAGGTGCTGCAGCTGTGGTTCTGCTCTGGTAGAAAAAAAAAGTGAGATTGCCCATTATAGAGATTCCCACATTCTATGGTTCTTATGAGGGATGGCTGGAATTCCATGATACCTTTCATACATTGATTTATTAAAATCCCAATCCCACAGATATTCAGAGGATTCACTATCTGGAGAATGCATTGAAGGGGGATGCAGCTGAGTTTTTTCGAGCTCTAGAGGTTCCAGCGCAAAACTATGCTGAAGCTTGAAAATTGTTGTCGGTCAAGTATGGAAATAAAATGATAACTATCAAAAATATCGAATCATTGTTCAATTCATAACAAAAATGTAGAGAGAATCATATCATCATTTGAGAACATTTTTCGCAGATACAATTAGAAAGGATATTCGTGCATTGAAAACATTGAATGAGCCAGTTGACACTTGGTATACACTTCTTATTTTCATTTTGGATACAAAATTTGATTCGGTAATCAGAAGGGAATAGAAAAGAGCAGGGACAATTATAGTTATTCATTATACAAGTAAAAAGTAGTAGATTTAAGCTCCAGGTTGTGTTGTCTCCCAACGCTTAGCGGAGGGAGACAAAGAACCGTGAGCTAAAATCTAATATTTTTCCCGTGTATAATACACAATTTTTTCCTGCGACAGGAAAGAGTTCGAATCAATATTGAGAAGATATGTGATATCTTGATGATATTGAAATCAGAAGATTATCGACATGAAATTAACAGGAATGAAACCTGCGTTGCAGGAATCTTCTTGCAGGTATCCTTATCAGTCTTTTGAAGAGATCAAATATCTGTCAGTCTATGAATTTAGTGATTGTTAAGTGATTTATGAAACCGCGAAGTCGAATGGAAGATAGAAGGAGGTGTTTGGAGTGTTTCTTTCCATTCCAGGTGGCGTTCGGCGTTCGCGTTTCATTTCGTTGAACGCCTCGTGGGGTATAAATGCTGAGATGAGTTTCTGTTGGGTCAGGTTCGCACCAGATAGCGGTCAAGAAGCTATCTGGGACAGCCCTGCACTGATGAGAGCCAACAGTTCGGAACGGATATACAGTGTGTCCATTTAGTGCGTAATTCTTCGATATCTCGAAATCCATTATCACTAGAGAAAAAAATTTGGAAACAAATTTCTTCCGTTATGAAGGTTCCATTTCGAAAATATTTCCAACAATACTGGGTGTTTTATAAAAGCGGGGCAACTCGAAGACGAGTTTTTTCAAATGGAACACCCAGTATTGTTCGTTCGAAATTTATTCCGCTCAAGTTCAGCTCTACATCGGTGTAAAAAAATTTGAATTTGGTTGCGGCGTTGCCAAGTTATAATTGATGAACCCATTTTTACTACTATTGAACGGTCATGTTCAATTGGGTATGGTATATTTATTTATTGAAATTTCGAAAATATTTTTGTCATTTAGTAGTAGCAAGGTCTCACGTATACCAATCCAGTAATCTTGCGAGATAATCCTCTGCAGGGTGCTAAAATTTACATTCCGAATATTGGAAGATTCAGACGACGATCATAAGAATTTTTCAAATGGAACACCCTGTATTTTTCATCACAGATTTATTTCGACATCATTCGCCTTTTCATCGCAGAAGAAAAAATCAAAATCGGTTGCGGCTTTTTCAAGTTATGAGTAATTTCCTTATTTTTACTACTATTTCGGGGTAATTTGTACGTCATGATGATTCCTTAATTTGATTTGAGTGTGGGAATATTGCTTGCCACATGACATTCGAGGTTCTACATAGATCATTCAGTTATTTTTGTGATATGTGCATCATCCAAATTTGAAACATTTCGTAATCTTGTTACTTATGATTCAAATAATATGTGAAACAAACCAATATGCCAAAAGCAACGCCTGTCTTTGAAACAACTCCTACAATACAAACACTGAAGATGCGGATTGCGAAAATTAGGACAATTTTTTGAAATTTGGTCTATTTTTTATTGTCGTTATTCCCACAATCCAAATCTCCATTTAACTTGATGAAGGTAAACATAATGATACAAACAATATGTCTCTTCTACGCGGCTTTTGGGAGGGAATTCAGCAAAATGTTTAATCAATCCATACATTTGATTGTGACGATGTTTGACAGGTCATTGCACAAATATTTCGAAAAAAATTCAAACTTGAAGAGCCTGTAAATGTTTCTTTTGTAAAAAAATATATGAATGGTCAATGAACATCGATTATACCGTAGCAACGCAATATTTCCACAATACAATTGAATGAAAGAACTATATGACGAACAAATTACCTCGAAATAGTAGTAAAAATAAGGAAATTAACCATAACTTGACAACGCCGCAACCGATTCCGATTTTTTTTTCAGCAATGAAAAGGCGAAAGATGTCGGAATAAATTTTTGAATAGAAATACAGGGTGTTCCATTTGAAAAATTCTGATGAATGTCATCTGAATCTTGCGAAATTCTAGATGCAAAATTGGGCACTCTGTTGAAGAACTTGTCGCAAAATTACTGGATTGGTATACGTGGGACCTTGCTTCTACCGTATGCCAAAAATATTTTCTAAATTTGAATAAATGAATATACCATGCCCAATTCAACATGACTCTTCAATAATGGTAAAAATAGATTTATCAATTATAACTTGGCAACGCCGCAACCGATTCAATTTTTTTACAGCGATGTGAAGGTGAACCTCGGCGGAATTAATTCCGAATGAACAATACTGGGTGTTCCATTTAAAAAAACTCTTCTTCGAGTTGCCCTGCTTTTATAAAACACCCAGTAATGTTGAAAATAATTTTGAAATGAGCAATTTTAGTAACTGAAAAACTTTTTTCTCCAAAGTTTTTCTCTATAGGTCATGGCTTGCGAGATATCGAAGAATTACGCACTAAATGGACACACTGTATAGCTAGTCACACATTCCTGAACCACTTAGGCGCAGCTCGGCGTTTAGGAAGGAAACACTTGCGATTTTATTCGTCTATACCTCGGTCTATACGAATTATTGCATAGATTTCGTGAGGAATCAATCCAATGTTCTGCGTTGTTTTTCTATCGTTATCTACCATTTTCGTTCCTTTTATGAACTATTGTGGTTGTGACAAGGATTCCTGGATTTTGTTTCAACTATTTCGTGTACTTGCGGCTTGTTTCGAAAAAATAAAAGCAATTACCAGCACTCATACACAAAGTAAACCTCAGAAAGGAATAATCGAACTTCACTCAATACGATATAGCTGCCATATTTGTTGTCAGTGTTGTTCATACTCACAAGACTTGTGAAGTAAGCCACCAGATGCCGCACACTTCGTGATTTTTGCAGGGATATTCCCTATAGGGACACTTTGCTGAATTCAGGGTGTGTAGGATGTAGGGACAGATCATTCGATAATCCAGAATTGTAGGAATTTTTCTACTGTTTTTGTTGCCTGGCAGCCTCAAGGACTATATATCACCTAACCTGACATACTGTCAGTTGAGAGAACGGTCGATTATTATCATTTCATGATTATTTGTATAAATGGCTTTGGTTTCGACTTGTTTATGACAAGTGACACTGACACAGTTACATTTGGACATAGTGGAATTGTGTTTTGGAAAATTTTCTCTGCTGAATCCAACAAACCTTAAGGTTCATTTGATTTAAAATGACTTGGAGGGATTTTTTCCCAATGTAGGGAATTTCCATAGGTATCTGTAGGGAAAACGTAGTTGAAAAGTTGACATCACTGATAGAAAACCGTTAATTTCGCAGGTGCGTGAGAGTGGCCAAGTCGGAAAACAACGGCTTGGGCATCTCGATCAAGGGTGGCCGTGAGAACAAGATGCCGATCCTGATCAGCAAGATCTTCAAGGGCATGGCGGCCGACCAAACGGACCAGCTGTACGTGGGGGACGCTATTCTGTCGGTGAACGGGGAGGACTTGCGGGACGCGACGCACGACGAGGCCGTCAAGGCGTTGAAAAGAGCGGGAAAAGTTGTGGAGTTGGAAGGTGAGTTATTTTCACTTCTTATAGCACTAGAGCTGCAACTTCCAGATTTGCAGGCGTGAAGTGGTACTTTACCACCGCCCGCGGACCCCTTATCGCCCACGGGCCATGAAGTGCACTTTACCGCCCGCTGTCCTCAAGGCCCTAATATTCACACATCCATTTGTGGAATACCGATATTTGAATTTTCAACTGATTCTATCGTTATGATTATGATATATGTTATTTTTCATCTGAATCCATCTTCGCTATAACTTCTTTCTTTGAATAGCTGAATTCTGGCTGTCTGAAGTTTTTAGCCAAAAGATGACAATTCCAGCTTGTTTTGTGGATGTATTGTTTGACCATCATATTGATTGACAACGTCAAATTCAGATAGCTATATACTGGGTATACATATTGTAACATCTCAAGGAATCAATCTCTGTTAGTGCAAGAAGAGTTTTACTTTTACGATAATTGCGATATTCGTGCGGTAATTTTAATATGTAGATTATACACATACACATTGCGCTTCACTTGAAAACTGAATTCATGAGTTACATATGAATTTTAGTTTGTTGAAATCGAATACTGAAGATCATCTCAAGAAATGCACAATATCTAGAATTTTGTATGACGTCGGATTTCGATACGAAAAATGTTTATTATATAATTTTTTTTCTGACGGGAAGAAAGTTTGACATTTGGTCTGTGTTGACAGGTAGCGAAATATCACTTTATATGAAATGAGGACCACAGTATAAGAAACTATAACACACTCTGAACTCCGAAACTGAAAAAATAAAAACCACTCCAACAAACATTTTGATATGGGGCATCAATGGCCTAATATATTTTTCCCATACCTGACATCAGCGGCCCAGTAAATGGTCCCATATGCGTGACTCTATATATCAGTACACTGCGGCCAGCAGCTGGCCCCAGTGCTGGTTACCCAGCAATCATATTCAGTTTCCCGGCAAAAGGCCAGTTCAACATAATCGACACATTGGGTTTCCCATAGCAAGCCCAGCATATACATAAATGATGGGACTGTAATGGCCAGTGGTAGGGGAGGGGTAGGGGAGGGGTAGGGGTTTTAAAAGTCCAATGGATCTGAAAGTACTAGTACCTCTTCATTTCACAATATAACCCTCTCATCCTGAATCAGACACATACCAGATTTAAAGGAAACAATTTTATGAATGAAACAATGATATCTTCTCAACCTCTCTGTTCTTCAACGATGAAACTTCTCGGAGTGACTGCTTACTGATTCCCTAACAACACAGGGATGTCCTAGGTGCGTCCCTTTTTTGTCCCGCGGTACAAGGAAATGATTGGGACATCCAGGGGATGTCCCGCCAGTGGTTGTCCAGTGGACATCCCACCTGGTACATCCCTAGGTTATCCCATTCGTGTCCATGGAATATCTGATATCCATTCTTCACATCAGAGAGTCATTGAATTTCATCAAAATATTGAGTCGAATTTTTTCGAAAATGTATTCCTTCCGGACAATAATTGTGATGAAAATAAAGAATATAGTCTCAAAACTTCTCAAGAAATGACCATTTTTCGCAAACAGAGATCGTAAATGCATAATGCGCCTCATTTTTAAACACCCAAGAATGATAAAATGATTATACCCGAATCCTAACAGTTTTATTTATCCAGGTTTCTGTAGTTGTCCTGTTTATAAATCTGTTCAATACATGAATCTTCAGAAGGCATATTAGCCAATGGAGTTAGGTGCGTGCCTGATAAGCTGAAGGTCCCGGGTTCAATCCCAGCTCGACCTACATTTTTTTTTCTTTTGTCGAAGGGATGTCCCTGGGATATCCTTGGGACGTCCTAGGGATATCCCTTCTTTGTACTCGGTACATCCCAGGGACGTACCAGAAGGGACATCCCTTAGATGTCCTTTTTGTCTGAAAGCGGATGTCCCAGGGACGTCCCTAGTATGTACTTTGTCCCAAAAAAGATATCCCTGGGATGTCCTAGTTTGAAATTAGGGACGTCCCTGGGAAGTCCCTTGGATGTACTCGTGTTGTTAGGGTTGGTATGTGGTATCTACATCTTATTGGGTAGCATTCCTTCGAAGTTGATTGTTCGTTGTGAGGTACTTCTGAAATATAAAATGTATCATTTGTTATATATTAGTGGTCAATGAGTTGCATGAGTTTATATAGCTTGATAATATAGTCTGATGACATAATAACATGTGGAGCTTTTCAATTCTCATTATTTTCTTGGCACAGGTATTTCTGAAGCTGAAACCTGATTGTTATTCAGTTCTTCAATATAGAGACAGGTTCACATATCCTAACCCAGACAACACAAGTGAATCCATTGGACAACCAATGGATGTCCAGCTATGGATACCCTGGACATCCATTGGATGGACGGCATTGTCCAGTATTTGTCCAATGGACATCCATTGGATAACACATGTCCAACAGTTTGGACATACATTGGAAGTCCATTGGCTTTCCATTAGACATCTGATGGATTTCCATTGGACATCCAATATTTGTCCTTTCCATTGGAAGTCTATTGGATACTCATCAGACATCCAATGGATTCCCAATGAAGATCCATTGTATGTCCATTACATTTGAAATACCATTGTATACACATCAGAACTCTAATGGATGTCTACCAAAAATCAAACTTATGTCCATTCCAATGATAAGTTTATTGGATACTCATCAGGAATACATTGGATTTCCATTGGATATCCAAATTTTGTCCAGCCAGAACGTAGAAATTAAAAAAAAGTTGTTCTTTGTGGGGATCGAACTCCGGACCCCGCTCTCGTGGATCACAACGCTAACCTCTGGACCACTGAGCTGTTATAAATATTATAGCAAGTATTTCGTATTCATGGTATTTTACATCGAGAGAAAATGCAATTTGCTGAAGTTTAGTGCCGCAATAAAGCTTTTACACGGCCCTTATCAAAAGTGTTACAGGGTGATTCATCTTTTTCGAAAGAAACCCGCCGTATAATATTTGCCCATATCGATCTTATTTGCACGGCCTAAATGGTTTAAAATTGAAATTGGATGAAAATCAACTTCAAAATAAGTACCTACCTCTATATAGGTACGTAACCTACAAAAATGATGAGACGTATAAAATCTTGAAAAATAGTACCGAGTGCGAAGTTGTCCGTGATTAATGTTCATATATAATATATTATATATTATTGGTAAAAATATTTCAATTGAAATAGAAGAGTCATAAATGACACATACATTCTTTGCGAAACGATTTCCATTGGATAAGTATGATGGATATCCATTGGCTGTAAAAATTTCGTTGTCCATTGTACAACTACAAAATGGATGTCCATTGTATGTACAAATCTCTATGTCCATTGTACATATACACAATGGATGTCCATTGGACATCCATGGACATCCGGCTACCTAATGGATTCAAAATGGACATCCAATGGATGTATGTGTGTTATCTGGGAAGATTTGTCTTGATAGCAACAAACGGGTTGAAAATGATAGTTATGCTCTTGGAGAAGTAAAGCCAACTCCAATTATTATGATCATTAGGTATATGAGGTTACGAGATACAAAACAAATGCATTTGATGATGGAATTCTAAACACTAATTGTAGGTAGATTGATACTCACTTTATATTATCATAATTGAAGAATCCGTCTTCTATCATTATCCATTGAGAATACTCCTGCCATCATAAATAACCACCAGGGAAAGAGGGGACCACATTAATTCGACATGAACAAACGCGATCACTACTCACGAGAGCCAACCACCTTACCCAATCAGCACAAGTACGTCTTATGGACGTTTTAAAAACGTTCACTCTGGACATTCAGGACGTTTTGGGGACGTCCATTTCCGGACGACGGACGTCTTATGGACGTTTTGAGGACGTCCATTGTTACTAATCAGGATGTTTTGGGGATGTCCAGTTTAGGTCCAGACTAGGACCTTTTTGGAATGAAAAATAGACGTATTGAGGACATTCAGAAAATATTGATTTTCTGACCCATATGGAACTCGAGATCGAAGTTCACCAGTTGATAGATGATATCCGCAAAGATTTCACTTATTCACTGCTTTTACAGTCAAATCATCAGAAAAGTTCAGAATGTCCTCGGACCTGAATCAAAGTTTAATCGGCACTCGGCAGTGTTCAACTGACGGACGCCATCTTCCCATTTCCCTTTCCCATCATCTTACGTTTTCGTTTCACGTAACACGCACAGTGTTGCCGGATGAAAATTTGTCGGAGCAGTAGAGACGGGTGGGGAAAAAACAGTAGATCATCAAAACTGAACAGAAGATTTTGATAATCATCACAATTTGCTATCATAAATGAAAAAACATAGTCACCTATTTAATAAACGAAGAAAAAATCATATTCGGTCTCTATACCTATCAAAAATCGAACGAAGAATAACAAAAAATAATGAAATGAAAAATAAAATTTGTTAAAATCGCAACCAGATTGAAAATAAAAGCTAATTTTTACTAATCAGACTGAATATGATAGTTGCAGTATATTTTCATCATACATCTTCTCACTGTTATGTCCCATTAATTTTCCATTGTTGCATATTAGGTAGTTATGTCATATCAAAATATGAGCAATCAGACCATTGCCTTGAATAGTTGAACAGTAGAATAGAGACAAAAACAGTAGATCAACTGCTAAAATAGTAAGTCTGGCAACGTTGAGCACGCATGCGTTCTACGGTTGCTCTACATATTCAGTGATTCAATCAAATATTATTATAAAAGCGCGGCTTGTATGAATAATACTTCAGTGTGGGTTTAAGAATGGTCAAACTGTATAGGTATTATGTGATTGAAGTGATATAATTCAACATAACTATATAAGTAGGTACAAATCAGCTAAAATCATGAATATTTCAAATTCATAATATTGATAATAAAATGAAATTCAATATATTGATACAGCTGATATATGATATATTATTTGACATCATTTATGTCC